ATTTCCACAGCAGTAGTGCCTTTTCCACCACCACAATCCAATCCCATCAAGGCTTACCCACAAACAAGGCCCTCGTCCCTAGCACTACTGTGGTTTATTCATGTAGCTCTGGTTTCCACCTGTATTCTAGAATGTGGTCCGTACGTCTTTCTCTCCCATCTGCTACACAGCATTCCATATACAGGGGTAGCTTTATTTACCTCTGATCACCATGGACCTTCTTTCCATGAATGGTTCAAAGTTTCATCCATAAATAAGTGAAAGATCCATGTGTTATTATCTAAGGCAAACTCTCACTCTGTTTTCTTCTGAATCTTCTTCAAATGTATTCTAGTTCTTTTTTTAGAATCAACCTACTATCTTAAGGAATAACGCAGTGAGAGCCAGCATGGAGAGAGCTTGGGTTTCCCGAGCCTTCACAGGTAGCAGATGAGGCAAGTGTTACTGGCTTCATTTAATAAATCAGGAAATGAGATAAAAAGAACCTTCTGTAACACATATTTGGTGAGCAGCAGAGCACAGAGATTCAAGAACAAGATTATCTGACTCCAAAATAAATGGTAAAATTCTTGTCTTCATGAAGCTTACAATCCAGTTGGAACCATGAGACAAATACATGAAAAGGCAAATAACAATAAAGATGTTCTACCTAGGGGTGCCTGGGTAGCTCAGTTGGTTGAGTGACTAACTCTTGATTTTGGCTTAGGTCATGACCCCAGGGTCATGGGATCAAGCCCTGCATCAGGCTAAATGCTGAGCATGGAGCCTGCTTAAGATTCTCTCTCTCTCCCCTCCCTTCTGCCTTTCTCTCCCACTTGCATGTTCTCTCTCATATTAAAAAAAAAAGTTCTTATCTAGAGTAGGGTTTCTCAACCTCAGCACCACTAACATTTTGGGCCAGATGATTCTTTACTATGGGGAATGTCCTGCATGCTGTACGGTGTTCAGCAGCAGTCCTGTACTCTACCTACTAGATGCCAGTAGCACCCCCACTTCAGTTGTAAAAACCAAAAGTGTTTCCAGACATTGGCCCATTTGAGGACCCCTGATGTAAACAAACTGCAAAACTTATCTTAATGACCACTGCAATCATATAATATCACCATTAGGATCCCTCCCAGGCTGTTCTTAGAGATAAGTCTGCAGTGCTCCTCTAGCAGCTGTGCTGGGTCTTTCCACACCCACTGCTGATTGCATTACTATACTATCCTGCCTGCATTTCTCCTTCAAGTTGACTTATTTATTTTCACCCAGATGCAGTATATGTCTCAGGAAGATGTTTTGAAATCCTTTCTGAAAGGACATAAGATAGGGGGAAAGATAATCCAATTAAAGGGCAGGAGGAAAAACACACACCATAAAGCAATGTGATTAACTGACAAATTATCCCAGTATTGAAAATTTGCCAAATGTCTTTTTACAACAATGCCATCGAAGTGTGAGGCAGAGGCCAAGGGAGGACAAGAGTTCTTTCAGTTCTGGCCCTTCTGGTTAGAATGGGCTTCCCTGGAGAGCTAAGAATGAACGATGTCTGCTCAGGAATGAAAAATTCCACAAACTCTCAGGAACAAAGGCCCAGGGATGGGGAAGAACCATGAATTTCGTTTTTTCTTTTTCAGTTTATTTATTTTGAGAGAGAGAGAGAGAGAGAGAAAGTGTGCACAAGTGGGGAGAGGGGCAGACAGAGAGGGAGAGAAAGAAGCCCAAGCAGACTCTGTGCTGTCAGCGCAGAGCCAGATCCAGGGCCCAATCCCATGAACCATGAGATGATGATCTCAGGCAAGATCAAAAGCTGGATGCTTAACTGACTGAGCGCCCCCAGTCACCCCAAGAACCATGAATTTCAGTGAAATTTTCTAAAACATAAACTAACCTAACTTAGAAATGAATCTTATTTTGGCCAAGCCTAAAATAAAATTAAATATATATGGAAAACTATATCCAAGAACAAAGAGTAAAACAGGTATGTGTGTAGAGTGGCTGATATAAGTGATAAATACTATTAGCTTTTATTATATATCTTAAATTAAGACAGTCTTTCGTATTTGAGTACAGGATGAAATAACAAGAACAAATCTTTACATTTCCTCAAGGTCTAGAAGTGGAGTCACAAGCCTAAAAATTTACTGGTAATAAACGATGGCATCTTGAATCCAGTCTGATTCCATGTTCAAGGCTCATTTCACTGTGATATGACAAACTTCAAGATTTATTAGTTATCAATTAATCACTTCAGAGCAGTGATTTTCAACTGGGGGTGATTCTGGCCACCGAGTGATACTGGCAATGTCTGGAGACATTTTTGGTTGTCACAAGTGAAGTGTGTGTGTTTGGGGGTAGTGGCGGTACTGGTATCTGACGGATTGAGGCCAGGGATGTTAACATCCTACAACACACAGTATGGTCCTCACAACAATGATGTGGCCCGAAGTGTCAATAGTGTTGAGGCTGAGAAACCTAGCTTAGAGGAAAGGTCTTACTAGTATTATTAGGCAGAAAATGGAGACCGAAAGTATGCTTACGTTCCAACAGATATTTCTTCCTTTGCCTTTAACCTGCTCTATTCTAGCTGTCCTCTCCACCATGTCTGAATGGACTCTGCCACTACAGGGAATATGCTGGGCTCTCTGCTCCTTCCCTCTTTGGACTCTCAGACACCAGAAAAAGTATGTTCAAGCCACATAATGAGTCAGGAGACATGAATGCAGTGTCAGGAAGGCAGAAAGTGCAATGATGCACTCTCCAAAGCACGATGGTCTTTTGGGTTTGTTAATCCAAAGTAAGCGTGATTTTACTGGCAACACCCACAACTTTGGCTTCTGGCTAAGCAGCCCCTGTTCCCAGCAGCAACTACTATTCACTAGTCTTTAAAAGATTGCTCACTAGTGATCTGGATCACTATCATGTCCTTCAGATAGTGGTAATCTACCCTGACAGTCCTGAACAGTTGAAAAGACAGAGGTTGAGTTCAGGGTATTTTAAAAGAAAGTTATATCCTATCCTGCTGGTCTCAATTTCTTTTATCTCTTAGATTTCTAAAGCATTTTATAGTCTACCTTTGTGTCTACCCTTGCAACCAAAGATCACATTTGTACTGTGAAGAAAGCTGAGCAGATATCATCCTGTTCCATTCTAGGACCATGGAGACAGAGACTATATAGCAAAAGAGGCCAGAGCCCACTGCTCTGCCCACTCTGCCAGGCTGGGATGTTTGGCTGCTGGCCTGGTTGCAGACTCTCACTCATTTGTACCTAATCGCTTAAACATCTTGACATACTTATGCTTACATAGCATAAAACTTGTGTCCTACAAAGGAGCTTATCACAAAGTTAGAAATTATATGGCAAGAGGCAGAAGAAGAGACTCAAGGGTAGACTGTACACAAAAACTGATCTAGATAAAAGGTTTTAAAATAAAAATTCCTTCAGATCTTCACTTACACAGCAAACTAGGTCATAACAAAATTTTTCCTTTCCTGACTCACAAGCACCATACTTTATAATTGCTGAATATTTGTCCAATTCTCCAGGTAAAGATCTATGCACTACACACCTGGAAATGCTCTTGGAGATCAGCACAGGAGAAATGAAACTAAAGTTCACCACTTTTGCTTTCATGCACAGTAAACCTAATTGTGTCTTTGTAAATTATGGAAACCTCAGCATACCTCGTGTAGCCAATATTTACCATATACCCTTTGTGTTGGAGGTACTGCTGAGTGTAGCAGGGAATACAGAAGGGAATGAGGTCCTGAGCGGGGGTGGGGGTCTGGTGGGGGTAATACGAAAAGTACACCCACAGGGGCAGGGCACTAGTGGAATACAACAGGAGGAATGGCAACAACAACAAAAAAGGTGACCTCTTGTGGACACTGAAAAATGAGAAAGATGTCACATAAGAAGATGGAAGGAGAGAGCACTTCTGACTGTAAGAACACAGAATCAGTTCAGTTCGGCTGCCATAGTAGAAAACATCCTGGGATTAAGTTCAAAACTAAAGAGCTACTCATGTATTAAAAAGGGGCCTCTACTTGCTCTCAAAGAAAACACTAGCTCCCTCTAGTCGCATCGCAAAGTAGAAATGAGGAACAGGACAGAATCAGGGTGACCCTTTTCCTGTCAGTAGAGATAGGCTGGAATCAGGGCTTCAGGCCTCAGGCTGGAGAAGTGCTCCCTGGGCTTCAGTGCTGTCAGCAGGGAGATGGGGGGGGGGGGCTCTTTCTTCTCACTTCCCTGTGGAGCAAAGACCAATTCCTGGAGCAGCTGTGCCAACAAAGTACAACTATGACAAACTGTGCTACCGGTTTTGGGAGCTTATCTGTACTCAACCAGAGGACTGGAGGAGTCTGTTCCCCCAGGGTGTGCTCTGGAGCCACTCTGCCACAAGGCTAAGGAAAGCCCTCTCTTGGATCACCCCTTGCCCTATGAACTCCAACTCAAGTCACCCTGATGTCCCAGTACAGGATAAACGTGGTTCGTTCAGTTGTGGGACCATGGGGCCCGAGACACAGTCCCGCAAAAGGGGGCACTGTCACCAGATTCGGGCAGAACAGCCCCTTCACCAGGGCAGAGACGTGCATATTTCAGATGTTCACCCTGCCACTGAAAGGCCACAAGGGGGACTGGGCCACAGTTTCACACGCTGGACCATCCGAGCACATCCTGGCTGATGCAGACGAGTGGCAGGAGCTGGCTGGCACCCAGGGCCGCTCCCCGGAGGCAGGCCGCGGCTCCTTCACGGACCACGGGTGGGCGACCGAGGGCTCAGTGCAAGTGCCAGGGGTGAAGGCGGATTTGCCGAGGACAAGCGGAGCACGTGCCCGTGCTCGCCGGCTTCCCCGTGCCGAGGACAAAGTCCGCTCTCGCCGACCCCGCGGTTTGGGTACCGGACACCGGGCGCGTCGGAGGCGAGGGGGGCACGGCCTGCGCGCGGCGCTGACCTTACTCTAGACCCCGACCCAACTCCGGGCTCGGCCTTCCGCGACCACTGCGTGCACTCACCATTGTGGTTGACCCAGGTCGGCTTCAGGAGCTTCATTGTTCGGCCGCCGCCGCCGCCGGGCTGAGGCGAGAGCCGTGTCCCTCAGCGCGCCCGGGCCATGGAGCCACCGCTGCTGCTTCCTCCCGCGCCGCCCTCCGGCCGCCGCCCGCCCTGCGCCCTCAGCGCCGCCGCGCCATTGCCGGCCCGCGCCCCCCTCCGCCGCCACAGCCGCCCCCCGCGCTCGGCCGCCGCCGCCGCCGCCACAGCCGCATCCCCTGCGCCGCTCCTCCTCTGGCGGCTCCCGGGCAACGCCGGAAGTCACGGCGCGCACCTGCCAAATCGCCCCGGCGGGAAACCGCTCCCCGCGCGGACGGGGCCGCCAGGCTCCTTCTTGGGCAGGGGCAAGGCAGGGTGGCTCCGCCCTGGCGCGGCTGCCACCGAGGCGGTCGGCTGGGAATGAGGCGGACGAACGGGCCCTCGAGTTGCAAACCGGGCCAGCGGAGTCAGGCGGGGTCGGGATGACGTGAACGGCCTCTCTCCAGCTATCTACCTCGCTGGTTCCGAGTCCGACTAATTAGCTAGCTTCCGTCATTCATCAACACGCGTTTATTGGGCATCTCGAGAGCGCCAGGCCACGTGCCAGAGCCGGGATGCTGTTGCAGACAGGGGCCGCGGCCCCGGACGAATGTGGGGGAAGGGTCACAGGGGATGCCGAGACGAACGCGTATATGGAAGATCGGGGCCGTTTTCACAGACGTGGGCACTTGGACCCAGAAGAACACCCTCTCGGCCACTCCGGCTGCACCGTGGGGTCTTGGCCCTCGCACAGGCGCAGGCCGACTAACTAGGGGAACCCGTGGCGGGGTCATGCCCTCTACGGGGGAGGGCTCTCAGCGGCAAGCAAAGAAGGAAGGGAAGACGTCACTTGAGATGCTAGGCGCTCGGGGGTTGCCCACGCGTCGCCGGGACGCTCGGGGCGGGGCCACGTCGGGGGCGGGCCCGGTTCAGCCCAGCCCTCCTCAGCCGGAACGCGGGAACGCGGAGCGCCGGGAAGGTCGGACCTTTGCTTGGGGCACGGCTGGCCGGACAGCCAAGCGGCGTGCGCCCGGAAGCTGCCGGTCGGCTGCCAGAGGGGTCATGGCTGTCGCGGCGCTGGGAGCTTCCGCCCGCGCTCTGCGCTCGCAGAGCTGGTGAGTGCGGACCTCAGCAGTCTCGGGGTGCCTCGTCCGCGCTCCCTCCGTGACCGCTCTTGACCACTTTATCTTCGGGAGGAGCTAGATGATGGCGCCTCTTCCTGCGGATGGAAAACCAAGGACCTTGGCGAGCAGGGACCCTGCCCAAGTGCTTTCTAGTGTGAATGGGGGATTTAATGTCTTCCACATTGACCTTGTCGTCACTCCCAACAGTCACAAGAGCCCCAGATTTTGAGAGTATCATATTTTTTCCTCTTTTCCTGTTCAGTGGGAAGAATCAGACATTTATATATCTTCATATCTCTTTCAGGCTTCTGGGAACCTGGCAGACACAGATTAGAGACACCCACCAGCGAGCTTCATTATTGTCCTTCTGGGACCTCATTCCCATGAGGTAAACTACCGTGGGCCTGACCTCTTTGAGGGTGTTAGCGGGAGATTGAAAGCAAGACCACTGGACATTTTGTTTGCAAAATTAATTGCCTGCAAAATTTCTCAGTAAAACGTAGGCAAATGCTTTTCTTTCAGCATTCTATATGTGGGGTACTGCTGTCTGTAATCAGAAAACTAAGGTTTAACTTAAAAATGGTTTAAATAAAAATAGTTTTAGAGGGATTCTTGTATGTTTTAAAGGACACAGCACAGACTTGTTTCTCCATGGGCTTTCCATTTCTGGTTCTCTGGAGAGGTCGGGAGAGGCATGAGGATTAGATTTTCCACCTAGGAGTCGGGATGCTTTCTAGGGACTTGGTTCACAAAGCTCGGTCTTGATGCTAGAGAATTTAATTGTTTCTAATAGTATAGTCTCACCATAGGATATGTGTTCTCAGGAGTACATCAGACTTCTGTTAATACTCTAGGGTGGGGAAATTTGTTAAGAAATCCTGAAAAGTAAATAGGGACAACCCCAAGGCACACCTGAATCCAACACTAAAGATGAGTACTTTTAATTTATATCCTGATGTCCTATGAAGTTTTTCTAGCCCTTCCTGGGTTGACAGTGCCCATAGTTCTCACAAGGATACTGGATTGGAGGCCATGTGTCCCTTTCACGTTCCACTGGTGAGTTTAGACCCATGCATAGTTCCTTCCCCAGTGGAGAGCTCAGTGCAAGTTCAGGGCACTTTACCTAGTGTCATGCCTCTCAGCATGTTTGTGAGACCGAAGAGGAAAACGTCTAATGTTTGCTTTATCCATTAGAGCAGAACCTCTGAGAAAGAAGAAAAGAGTAGATCCTAAAAAAGACCAAGCAGCAAAGGACCGTTTGAAAAAGAGGATCAGACGACTGGAGAAAGCTAGCCAGGAGCTAATCCCCATTGAGGATTTTATAACACCTGTGAAGCTCTTGGATAAAGCAAGGTAAGGGTTCTCTAGGGTTGCGGTTCTCAGGACAAAAGAGTTCCATCACCTTTGGCTAGTTTTGTCTGCATTTCATGCCTGTGACAGGAAGGGTGAGTCGGTGTGGGATAACTAGGTCCTAGTCTGAGTCCTTTTCTCCTTGACTGTCTTGTGGGAGTTGGCAAAAGCATTCTCTATTTTTTAAAATATTTATTTCTGAGAGAGAGAGAGAGAGCACGAGGGAGCACATGCATAAGTGGGGCAGAGAAAGAAGGGCACAGAGGATCCAAGCGGCTCCGTGGTGACAGAAGAGAGCCCAACGCAGGGCTTGAACTGGCGAACCGCCAGATCATGATCTGCACTGAAGTTGGATGCCCCGCCAAATGAGCCACGCAAGTGCCTCAGTTGGCAAAAGCATTCTTGGGTGGTGCTCTTGAATGGCTGAAATGGGAAAGAAACTCAGAATAACTGGCTTTGGGGGGCGCCTGGGTGGCTTAGTCGGTTAAGCGTCCGACTTTCGCTTAGGTCATGATCTCGCGGTTCGTGGGTTCGAGCCCCGCGTCGGGCTCTGTGCTGACTGCCAGCTCAGAGCCTGGAGCCTGTTTCAGTCTGTGACTCCCTCTCTCTCTGACCCTCCCCTGCTCACGCTGTCTCTCTCTCTCTCTCTTAGAAATAAATAAAAAACATTAAAAAAAATTATTTAAAAAAAAAAAAAAAGAATAACTGGCTTTGGTAAGCCAGTTCATGTTGTTGCCTTTTTTTTGCAAGCGGAGTTTTAGCTGTGACTGATGACTTGGGTCTTGGGTCTGCAGTCCTTGCCCCATCTCGATGATAGAAAACCCTTAGCTTCTTGCTTTTTGATACAAATGCTCATAGTTGGCACGTGTTGTGTGCTGCCTTGTAAAAAGGGTATACCATTTATAAAGTCACTCTTTGCTGTACAAGTGGGACATGGCAGGTGCTTTTTTGGTATGCTAGGGGCTGATCTGGGCTCTTGACTCCTTGGGATTTGGTTGTCTTTTTATAACACAACTTCACTGAAAAGTCACCTCTCACCAAAGGTAGACTCAGCCTGGGGCAGAGGAAGTGCAACCAGGTTTCTTAGAGCATCACTGTTTCTTGCATCCACGTAAAGAAAATAGCAATGGCTTTCAGTTGCAGCTGTTACATCAACATTCCATTCTTTAATTTGTCCCTGACTTCCGCTTTTTTCTGAGTCTCATCTGTGTCTGGCAGTGGGAGGGGACTGGGTCATATGCAGTCACCCAGACTACTTGGCCAGTGAGGCTGGTGCTCCCCACATTCACACCTTTGGATTTGTGTGTTCCCAGACAGCGGCCTCACATGGACCTACCCTTTGAGGAGAGCGAGCGGAGAGCTCTACTTCTGAAAAAATGGTCCTTGTACAAGCATCAAGAGCATGAGATGGAAAGAGATGCCATTAGGTCCCTGCTTGAGGCTCAACAGGAAGCTCTGCGGGAGCTGCAACTCCTGTCCCCAGAGTTACATGCGGAGGCCACCAAGCGGGACCCCAGTTTGTTCCCCTTTGAAAAAGAAGGGCCAGATTACACACCACCAGTTTCTAACTACCAGCCCCCTGAAGGCAGGTACCATGACATCACCAAGGTATATACACAGGTGGAGTTTAAGAGGTAGAGCTGCAGGCAGCTGTCCACAGAACACACTCTGCCTTTAGAGCCAGAACAGGGCTCAAGCATGTTGTGAATAAATGTGTTTAATCAGTGTCTCTGTTTTATGTTAGAGTCCAAATTACTTCACCTGAGAATGGATGGGGGTGAGAGATGCTGCCCTTCCTTGTCTGGTATTGGGGAATGAATGGCCAAGACTTCGACCACTGCTCCCCAGTAAAAAGGAAGATTCCAATCCTGTGGGGCAGACGCCACCAGCAAGAGGCACAAAGTACCTCAAGGAGAAGTGAAAGATGTGCAGGCTGTGTACTCTGTAAGGGATGTCTGTGGAGACAGGAGAGGCAGGGCCTTCTCACTGGGGCAGATGGAGCACTTGAGTTTCCTCCTATCTTTGGCAGGGTCAGCTTTGGGTTTTAGGCTAGGGAGGGAGGCTGAAGAGAGTGGAGCAAGCCTGGGACACACTAAAGTTGCTGTGTCCCCTAGGAGCGCGTGGACCTCTCTTATTGAAGTGCTCTTTGTCTGGAACAGTAAACGTATTAATGTGCTGGGGCTGCGAGAACAAAGTACCAGAGACTGCGGGACTTGAACAGAGTTGTTCTGGAGGCTAGAACTCCAAGATCAAAGGGGTCGGCAGCATTGGTTTCTTCTGAAACCTCTCCTTTGCTTGCAGAGCTGCCGCCTCCATGTCCTCATAGGGTCATCATCCCTGTGCGTCTCTTAATGATACCAGTCAGACTGGATTAGGGCTCACTTATAACGACCTCACTTTTAATTACCTCTTTTAGCACCCTGTCTGTAAAGTCCCATTCCGAGGTACTTGGAGTTAAAGCTTCAACATAGGAATGGGGGCGGGGGGTGGCAGGCACAATTCAGCCCATAGTGAAGGTCAAGTAAACAAAGAGAGCCTATTAGTGACTTACACTGCTACCTCAGAAAGGCTTTGAGTTCTTCACCATCTTAGTGCAGATAAACCAGGGAAACATTTGAGAAAGACTTCAGGTTGTTTTCCTAGTGTGTGGTTCACTTTTGGTTTACTTAGATAAATGTTTTCACTGGATAAGAACACTAACAATTCTAAGTTCTTTGGCTCTACTTATGAGCCAACACTGAATCCAGCCACTTTTCACTTCACTGCTACCACTGAGGTCCACGCCATTGCTGCCTTTTGGGGCAGCCAGCTCATCCCGCCATGTGGGCACTCCCCCTGCCCCTGCCAAGCTCCTATGCAGGGCAACCAGAGGGCTCTGTGAAGCACAAGCTGAGTCAGGCATTTGGCTCCTGACCACTCATGATCACACCTTACAGCGCCCCCCAACCAACCTCCCCGTTAGCACATGGCACTTACTTGTTCCTTGTGGCCTGTGTGCCCCTTTCTCTACAAGGCTCAGGCCTCTTCATCCAAGTCTGGGCTCTGATGCCGAGGCCTTCCCCACCTCCTTGCCCACTGCAGGTGCTTTGTAGCAGTGCTTTTCAAACAGTAGTTTTCATCCATTAGGTTGTATAGTCAATTCATAGGGTCACAGCCAGCAGTTTTAACTTTTTATTTTGAGGTAGTTACAGATTCACAGGAGGTTGGAAATAAAGCTGCAGGGAGGGGCTGTGTGTGGTTCTCCCAGCCTCCACAAGTGTTAACATCTTACACACCAAGTAGTGTGTACCCAGAGACTAACAGGTACAGCCTAGAGTGTATTTAGGTTTCCCACTATGTCTGCCCTCATCTGTGTGTATGTCTAGCACTACAAAATGTCATCACACATTCAGCTCTGTATAAGTCAAGGTTCCATTACCACAGGATGTCCTTGTGTGTCCCTTAATAGCCACATCCACGTCCTCCTCCCATCCCTCACCCTTGGCAGCAGTCACCACTCTCCATCTATAATTACATCATGTCACCAATGTTACATAAATAGAACTATCATATGTATCCATTTAACTCTGCACATAGCTTCCCTAAGTTTCACCCACCCAAGTTGCTGCATGTGCAGCAGTTTATTTTCAGTGGCACAGAACTGAAAATGTCACTGTACCATACACTATACAAGGACTGTTCTGTGAAACGTTTCAACCATATATGCAGCATATATAAAGTATGTATAGATCATAAAACCCTTGTTATTACAGATTTCATGCAAGAAATTTAAGAGATACTGCTCTATTGTCTTCACAGCACTTTAGACTTAATGATGTTTAAATGTTTATGTCTGTCTCCTAAATGTAACTGTAACTCTTTGAAGTAACTTGCCCATTTCAAGACTGCAATCCTAGAGCCTCAGAGCCCTCCTGGCCCTGGCATGTAGCAGGTGCTCAGATGTTGTGAAGGGTGAACACAGGACCAGATGTAGGAACATTCTGTGCAATGATGATTTCTGTCAATGTGGGACTCATTGAGTAACAGAGAAGGAATAAGACATCCTAACAGAACAGTCTGTGGCAGGCAGCCCCTGACCCTAAAGAACCACATAGAGCATGGATTCCTTGAGGTGAGCCCCTCAGGACTGCTGGCTGCTACTGCAGCTCTGCCCCAGGAACCCCAAGGGATCACAGGCAGATTGCAAAATTCAAACGTCCCGTCTTGTGTTTCAGAGTGAAGAGAATGCCTGTAGATCCCCAGCAGCCTTCCCTCCTTGGCCTGAAATGCTCCAGAAAGTAGCCACAGCCACAAAAAAGATACTCTGGTTGACTCAGATATGAAGGCACCCCATCCTGGGATGGGCTCTTTATACTTACCTCTGCTCCTAGGCTCCTATGTGCATACCTACACCACTCACAGGGACATACACACAGGGAGGGTCCATAGGGAACCTGTGCACACACGTCCCCACCACTCAACAGGTACATACACACATAGAAGGGGCTATTGGGACCCTATGTGCACACCATCCACCCCCACATTACCTCACAGGCATAAACATACAGGGAGAGGCTACTGGGACCTATGTGCACTCCCCTCACACAGGCACTCCCAGGCACACAGTCACAAGGAAGGACCGCTGGGGACCTGTGTGCACCTCCCCACCACCACTCAGTTACATACACACACAGGGAAAGGCTATTGGGGACCTATGTGCTGATCCCCCAACATTTACACGTACATGCAGTCACAGGGACTCTTGGCATAGCATAGGAGAAAATGCACATGAAAAGGCAAAGTTTATTCTTTAATGTAAGCCCTTCTAAAGTGATGGGATTATTTTGCCCCAAAGAATGTGTTAAAAGATGTCTTGAGTTGGGGCCCAGTTGTGAGGGAGGTACTAAAATGCAGTGGGCCGCACTGGCCAGGAAGGAGGAGGGAGAGTGCTGGGCACACAGCCAGCCTCCCCCTCAGCACCATACAATCAGGCCTGCTATGCAGCCACAAGATGGGAAATTGTTATCATTAGTAATAAAAAGACCTCTTCAAGAACTAGAGTTCTTGTTGGTTCATATGCATGTATTTTAAAAACATTTACAAGAGTATAAGCACACAAAATTCCAAAACTCTCCCAGTACAACGTCAGGTGCTAAATCTAACAATCTCAACTATTAAATTGTGGATTTAATGTTCAGCTTTTGTTTGGAATCAAATGTATGAAATGGCTTTTGATATATAATCTACATTTTCTAAAAACAACCAAGGGATATTTTGAAGGAAAGAGACCAAAATTCCATGTGTCTTGGGCTTGGGTTTCTTAGCCAAGAGTCTATGAACCCTTTTAGTGCAAGCTTGTGTATTTTGTACCTGTGTGCGTTTCTTAAAACCTAGAGTCTTCAAGAGGCTTATCTCCTAGGAGGAGAAACACCCTCCCTGGGTCTACAGAGGAACTGAGTGAGTGGGCTGCAGCTCTCTGTAAGCACCAGGGGCTGGCAATGCAGTTTCACCAGGCCAGGACCAGGAAAGGCATTCACCACAGCACAACGATTTATCTGCCTCATTCTGATCCCCCTACATGACCACTTGGGTCAGGGCTACCACTCAAGAGTTTACCTGAGAATGCTCCTGTCCCCAGAGGGGAACATGAACCAGCCTGACCCGGCTGCTCACTGGGATCGGCAGTGGGGTCTGGCATCCTGGAAACTGTGCAGTGGGTGACATTGTCCTTCAGAGCACGGCAGCGGCAGGGCACTCTGAATGCTGGAGAGGGTGCACAAATAGGGCTGGAGACCTCAGGCTCTGTGTTCTAAGCGATGGAAGCTCTCAGGGACCCACTAGACTCTTTGGGCCAGTCACTGTCCTTAGGGTCCTGCAACAGCCCCACTTGAAACAGATCAGGGAAAGCCATTCAGGAGTGTTCATCACTGGTCTTTCTCCTCCTGTGGCAGAGGGAGGTGCCAGTCTGCAGGAGGGCTCTGCCTCAGCGCCCACACCAGCGCGTGTTTCCGTGCAGCCTGGACTCTCGCACGCTCACTCTCACAGAGGGACCGCTGTGCAAAGGAGACCCCAGTCACTTCTGGCTCATATGGCCCTTGAACCGCCCTCCTCCTCAGCACCCTCCCAAACACAAGTCAGACAAATGAAGCATATGACACCTACTGCTCCAAAATTTGACTGCTTCCACCTAATAAACCCTGGTGATTGTTCCGTATTAGAACACAAAGATATAGATCATTCTTTCTCCCAAGCTACTGTGAAAAACTTTTGTGCAGTTCACCATAGTTTGAGTAAATTTTAAAATGTCTTCTGAGCCTCAGGACTTGATGCTTTTGGTCGACCTAATCAGGTTTACCTGCTGAGACCGTGATGAGGCTGAGCTTAGAGCAGAGATAAGAGTTCAAAAGAGTGGCTAGAGTGGGGAGGGTAAGGTAAGAGCCACATGAGCAGGGAGCCCTGGACAGGCAAGGAGGAATCCAGATGAAAGACAATAGGTGCCACTCAACCAGCGGGTTTTTCTCTGCCACTCTCCCTCTCTCCCTCAAATAAACACAAGTCAGTACCGTACCACCAAGAAAGGTGCACTTGGTAGGCACCAGGTGTTCTACTGGCTTTTTTTACACATATAATTTCACCTTCTCTAATTGTCTGTCTTTGCTCGAGCTCAGCTGTCTCAATGTTTTTGTTCTTGTTTAATAAGAAATCAGAAATGCAAAGAACATGGAAAATCTCCCAGACTTCTGTCCCTAAGGTGAAATTAACAGCTTCCCTAACACAATTTTAGACCTAAATTTTAGTGCTACACATTTCCCTGATGATGGCATAATCTACAGGTTAGTGTACTTCCTTGGTTTCTTTACTAAACAATATACTACAGGTTCCTTTCCCTGCCCAGACAGATTCGCTATCTATTCTTTTTAATGGCTATGTAATACCCCACTGTTTGGAGGAAGTTATTTGGTTAAATGTCTATTAGAGGCATTTAGGATGCTTTTGGTTTTTGTGCGATCACAAACAGTAATGCAATGGATATTTTAAACTTTTAACTGTGCACTGTTACCCAACTACTTCCCTAGGATGAACTTTCAGAAGTAAAACTAGGGGGTCAAAAGGTATTCATCTGACAGTTGGATAATCAGAACACATAACACTCCACAAACACTTGCACAAGTACCCCTGATTCTCCAAATCCTTACAGACACTTCTGATTTTTTACTGGACAGAAACCACTGGTCATCTGACCTTGTATACCAGGCCATTTTATTTTCTTTTTGAATGAATTCCTTCTTCCTGCCCTTTGCCAAACTTTTGTATTCTGAACTAACCCCTATTTTTCTTTCTTTCTTTATTTAATTTGAGAGAGAGACAGAGATGGGGTAGGAGAGAGAATCTGAAGCAGGCTCCACACTGTCAGCACAGAGTCCAACCTGGGGCTCAAACCCACACCGTGAGATCATGACCTGAGTCTAAACCAAGAGTCGGCCACTTAACTGAGCCACCCAGGCACTCCCCCTTTTTCTGATACATTAACTCTCTCTACGGGGGAAAAAAAAAAGTCATTAATCTCTTCCTATATAGGCTATAAGCTATTGTTCTCAATTTTTTTATTTCCACTTATGGATTTGTCATCATTTTCTTTTATACAGGAGCTTAGTTTCCACATCTATTTATCTGTTTCAATAATCACATACATTTAACATTGCTGAAGCAGTCCCCCTTCCTGCTGGGCCTCCTCCCCCTTCCCCATGAGCACTGTACTTTCAAGCTTCTCTCCATCTCCCCAACCAACAGCTCCAACGCCGGAAAGGTGCCAGAAGGGCAGGGGCAGATTTTCAGCACTCTTGTATCTCTAAGATCTCCCACCATGATAAATATCTGCTGAATGAATGGAAAACTAGAACTACCTCCTCACTGGTCATTTTGCCCCTCCATAATACATTCTCCCGGCCCGGCAGTCAGACTCATCTTTTAAAGATATAAATCAAGCCGCTACACGTTTACGCTAGAATCTAAACCCTTTTTTAAGGCCCACCAGGTTCCCAGTACCTCTCCAGCCTCATCCCCTACCTCTCTACAGCCCACTTTCCTTCTGCTCCAAGCACCTGGACCTTCTTTCGGTTCCTCAGACGTGACCCGCCCGGGCCTGGGTGAAGGGTCTTAAGGCTGGTTTCTGGTTTTTCAGGCCTCACCAATATCCCCTTCTCTGCAAGCCTGCTGTTAGGGGACCACTCCTCGCCCTCCAAATTCTAAACTCTCCTTTCTCTTCAATGTATGAAAGCCCCGTGGGCATACTGATTTTTGATATTTCTCAAAAGATAGGAAGCACAAAAAGAGGAGAACCCAGTCAGTACTCCTCTCCAGCGTCCCAGGGACTGGAAAGTGGAAGGGTGGTGATCTGTGCACTCAGACGCCCCGGCAATGCACCCTCGCGGCCCAGCGCCACCCCTGGCTCCCTGACACACCTGGGCCTCCGCGCTCCGGCGCTCCTCCCACTCGCGGCAGCTGGCCAGGTCGCGCCGCCACTGCTCGCAGGCTGGCCGCTCGCCGTGGACGTAGTAGTGGTGCAGGAAGTGCCGGGCGCTGCGGCAGAGCTTCCACTCAGCGCGGTAGGCCTCGCAAGGGCGCGGCGGCTAAAGCGAGAAGCTCGCCTGAGTGGGAGGCCGGACCAGAGTCCCATCCCGCCTCCTCCCTGGAAGAAAGCTCGGATAATCCGGTCACAAGGTCCGAGGAGGTTCCCCCACTTCCCGGGCGTCCCTAGCACTTACCCGCCAGCTGCCACCGTCCGCCATTTCCAGGCGACTGCCGAATCCCGCCTCTGAACTCGCAGGCCAATGAAGATTGAAGGAAGCCGGCACCGTGTGATTGACGGGTTGACGAATCAATGAACTGAGATATGCCGATAACTCCTCACCCACCTCCTTGACACGAGCCAATAAACATCGGGCTGAACAGCCAGTAACACCCAGAGGCGGTGGCACGTGGAAAGGAGAGGCCCATGAGGGCCAAGGGGGCGGCGCGGTAGGGGGCGTGTCCCGCGGGTAAGAAAGTCTGGAGTCCAGCCTGGGAGGCAAATGGGATGACAGATGTCTGGTGCCTGGCCGGCAACCCAGGCTGCACAGCCACCTTAAGTTACCTATTTCTGAACCCACGGGTTCCAGGCCAGGTTTTAGCAGTTTTATTATTTTCATAAATCTCAAAAGATAGGGCTCATTTTCATAACCACATACTGAGCATCAACTCCACGTGGCGAAGCTGCCAAGACTGAGGCTACAGCAGTGTCGCCTGAGTGTCCAACTTGAGGGTGAGGGTGAACTCACAAAATAACCTGGATTGATTGGACGGGGGTCTGGGGAGTCAGATGATCTCCCGAGGAAACCCAGGCTGGTAGTGGAGACAAGTGGAGGATGTTTCCAGCATAGTGGCAGGCTGGTCGAAGCCATGGAGGCTGTCTGTGTGTGACAAGGGGCAGAGAAGCCTTGCAAGTGTGGGGCAGCTTGTATGTCTGATTAGGAACAAAGGCTTTACTCTGAGACATGGGAAGACATGGAACGTTTACAAACAAAAGAGGTGCACAAGAAGCAATAAAAGCAAAGAGGCTAGTGAATCAGAGGAGGAGCCCTGCAATACCTATACAGTGGTTCTCCAGCTGTAGAAAACTTAATCATCTGCCGGAGAGCCCCTTACAACGCGGTTGCTGGGCCCACCCCAGGAATGAGACTGGGTCAGACTCTGGCGGTGTGCCAGAACGCTGCAATTTTACCAGGGGTCCTGCCAAAATGGCTCATAAACCAAGCTTGAAGACAGAGAAGCCTGCAGGCCAAGGTGCAGCAGTAATGACAAGGTGACCCCCTGGTGACCCCTCCCCTCTGTATCACCAGAAGATCCACCAACAGAGTCCACCCCTGGCCCAGGTGAAGAAGTGTGGCTCCAGCAAAGGACCAGGAGTGGTTTCAATGCATACACCATAGTTGTTGCTTAGGAAAGACAAAATCCCAAGGCCAGAGCCTTACTGTAACATTCATTATGCATCAAATGACACAGCCAATGTGATCCTGCAAATGGAGGCTGCCTACCCACCAAGGAGGGCTTCTACTTCAGCTAGTGAGAGACCTCGTTAAGTGGAGGGTCAGGGACGTTACAGCAGTGCTTCCTGCCTCTTAATATCTTGTCCATCATCAGTGGTAACAGTTTGGGCAATAGCCCAGTCCTGGTCTTCATGACAATCATCTATTTTTATTGATCTGATGACATGTGGGTGGACCCTGGGGTGACCATCCTGAAGGGGGATCCTCTCCTGAGTGTTGAAGGAGCTCTGTCCAGAGATGGACCCTTCTGTTTTCAAGCAGGAGTCCTGGTACAAGAGGAGACCCTTCTCGGGCTGGCCATCCTAACACGGGTCAGAGAGCTTCACTTCTCCCTACATTCTCCAGGAGCCCCACAGAGAAGCTCTTTTCTAATGGCAGGATGGAACAAGGGACACCTGCAAGCAAGTCTTCCTCCAACTTCTGGAGCCCAACCAGCCCATGTTGGTACCTAATCAAACATTTGGAGGCAATCCAGGTTTTAGTCATTGCCCGTTTTTATTTGAAATTCTTGATGTAAAATTATTTTCAAGAACAAAAGAGATTAAATTAGGTTAACATGTCAAAAGATCTCACATTATATAAAGTGATCTGATACCAAATTAACACTAATAAAAGGCCCGCAGAACCTTGGATAACTTAATACATTAAAACTGGGAGTGGGAGGTAGGAAAGGAGAAAGAGGAATGTACCTTTAGCACGTATTTATTCTAATATTTGTATTTGTGCTTCATCATGAAGTTGTTTTACTGTAGAACAGATTCATTTAGGAGCTAATTATTTTCATATGAAATCAAAATACAAGTGGAAACGTAATCAGATCAGGAATCCACCTTCTGAAGGATGGTTCTTTTGAAACAAAGAGTCAATAAGTAAAATAAAAATAGAAACACCTTTCCTCATATACTTAAACTGCAGCCAGAGTATTGGGATAACCACTATCTATAGAGCACATATCTAGCCATTTTTTTCTAGGCCAAAGGCAATGTTCTAAGCTATCCACCTGGAAAAAGAGAGGATAAGTGAAAATAGAGAAACGACAACTCAAGTTAGAGCAACCCAATCCCCTCCATTGGTTTTTATCAGGAATTGGGGAACTCTGCTTTGGCTAAGGCAGTGGGAGCACCTCCCCCCAAGGGCTGAAAGCGAGAAGGGGCAAGGAGGAGGCTGCCTATGGGGCCTCAGAGTGAGCTTTCTCCTTCCCAAAATCAACCACCAAGTCTGACTGTTCCACTTCCAGGTCAGACTCAGTAATTCTTAGGTAACTCTAAACAAAACACAAAGTGACAGAGCATCCTCTGCAACAGTCTCATCCCATCAGAGCCATTAACTAAAAGCCATCATGTTGCAATTATTTTATTTTCCAATCAGCCAACAGTCCCGACTTATGGCTTTCTTCCCTTTTTACGCAACGACTGTCCTTCTCCAGAGAAAGCGACGAATCTGCCTCCAGCTTCATCCTGAGTGTGAAGATAAAATACTATTTTCAGAAACTCCTTGGAGGCTTAGAATAAATGTTTTATTCATGTGCCAGCCACCCCCATTTTCCTCACTTCCACCTGATACGCAATAAGAAATGTCTTTGAAATGGAAATACAAATCATAATCGACTGCACTGAGAAACAAAGCCACAGAATCACTGCTATGCCTCTACCACAGCCTTTATTCTCAGGTTGAATGTACATCCTTTTGCAGAAGCATCACATTTTCAAAACATAAAAATGTAAAAAATATAAAATACACCCCCCAAAAGTCATCTGTAATACCACCACCCAAAAAATTTCCAGCCACTTTATTATATATGCCTATGTGACCTATTCTCATACTTCCTGAGTCTCAAGTCAATGAATTTCTTTTCTAGTACGGGCTACAGAGGAATTCCATCCTGTGGGAGAGGCAGTCTTCCACCATTAGTTGTTACTACCAGGTCTGTGGTATTGTAAACCCCTGTGGTGAGCAACTTAGTGTTTGCACACACTCTTGATTTTTTTTTTTTTTTATAAGTATTGTTCTTCCATAAAAGGACTGCATGTATTTTTAAGGCTTTTAATATTATGGTTACTAACCAGCCCTCAGAAACACTCAGTCAAGCTATTTTCCCACCAAAAAAAAGAGTGCTTGTTTTTTTCTGAACTCCTGAAAACAGCAGGGATCTTCTCATCAGCTTGTATTGCTAGTCACTTGGAGGCATAATCTGTGCAAGAGGACTTCACACCCCACAGCACGTGGCCCAGCCCCTCCTGACCTCCATGCAGGAGTGTATCCCTGGCGGGGCCTGTACACGCTTGTGTGGTGACGACCATGTCAATTTGAGTCATAGCTGAACCATTCAGCCTTCCTTTCCCACAGAGCCTTCTGTCTGTCCTGCTGTCCCTGTGTCTGGCTTCTCTCTTCTGCATACATTCAATCACATCAGGCATCCCGCAGCTTTTGTCTGTTTGAAGGTGCCTCTCATAAGGCCTTTAAGCTGCCCTACCTGGACTGGCTATCCTCTTGATGCTGCGAATGGCTTCAGGGCTCCCTGTTTTCTGGATCTAAGGCTTTCTTATTTCTACTTTATTCCTTCATTTTGGTAGGGTACATCCTCCAAATGCTTCCTGAGAAAGGGTGCTTGAGGAATACCTTTTTGTGATATCTTACATGTCTGAAATTAGCTTTTTTTGCTCTCACGTTTCCTTGATAGGTTTGCTTGGTGTTAGATTAGTAGGGCTGCCATAACAGAATACCACAGCCTGGGTGGCTTAAACAACATACAGTTATTTTCTCATGGTTCTGGAGACTGGAAGTCCAAGATCAAAGTGCTGACAGGTTTGGTTTCTTCTGAGGCTTCACTCCTTGGCTTACAGATGTCTGCCTTCTTGCAATGTCCTCACGTGGTCTTTCCTTTGTACATCTAACTTTCCTCTTTTTATAAGGGCACCAGGGGTGCCTGGGTGGCTCAGTTGGTTAAGCGTCCGACTTCGGCTCAGGTCACAATCTCACGATTCGTGGGTTCGAGCTCTGCATCGGGTTCTGTGCGGGCAGCTCAGATCCTGGAGCCTGTTTTGGATTCTGTGTTTCCCTCTCCCTCTGCCCCTCCCCACCTCATGCTCTGTCTCTGTCTCAAAAATAAATAAACTATAAAAAAAAATTTATAAGGGCAACAGTCAGATTGGGTTGGGAGCTACCCTAATGGCCTCATTTTAACTTAACTGCCTCTATAAAAACCTTTATCTCCAAATACAGTCATATTCTGAGGTGCTGGGGGTTAAAGCTTCAACACAGGATTTGGGGGAACACCATTCAGCCTGTAAGAGTTGGGTACAGAATTTTTTAGAAAATTTCCCTCAGGATTTTGAAGACACTGTTCCGTGATCTCCTAACTTCCTGTGCCTGCTAAGATGATACCATTTTTGATCTGTGGTACAGCCACTTTCCTCCTTCCGAAAGCTTTAGGATCTCTTCTTTGCCTCAATAGGGAGCTATTTTCATTCACATTGTTGGGACACTCAGAGGGCTCTCCAATCTGTAAACTCTGTGCCCTTCCATCTAGGGACATTACTTCCCTGATGGTTCCTGCCCCTTTCATTTCTCTAATCTCTTTTCAGAACTCTTCTGATTTAGAGGTTGGCAGTAGAAGCTTTCTGACTGCAGTCTCCACCCTGGGGTGAGCTGGCTGGCACATTCCTCAGGGATCATCAGACTGTACAGAGAAACCAACCTCCAACTGCAATGAGCAAACC